GTTTTTAGTAAGTGTTAAAGGTGTAGTGCGGTGTTTTATTTTTAGTGTGGGTTTAAGGCGTAGTGTTTGTGTTTTTTTTCCAGGGTGTATTTTGTTTTAGTATGTGTTTTCGGTGTAGTGTGTGTACGGTGTAGTGTGTGTACGGTGTAGTGTGTGTTTTGTTTTTAGTGTGTGCTTACGTCCTACCAATTTTATCCAAAATTTGTATACTATATAATGTACATTTTTTGGTGATTTTGATCGTGAATTTTTTTTTTTGGACGTTCCATCAATTTTATCAAAAATCTGTGTAGTATAGCATACATTTTTTGGTGATTTTGACCGTGAAATAGTTTTTTGGACTTTCCATTTGTTTTACCCAAAATCTGTGTATTATAGTATGGAGTTTTTGGTGATTTTGATCGTGAAAAAGTTTTTGGGTCATTCCACCAATTTTATCCAAAAATTGTGTACTATATTATAGCATACATTTTTTTTGTGATTTTGATCGTCATTTTTTTTTTGGATGTTTCACCAATTTTACCTAAAATTTTTGTATACAAATAGCGTACAGGTTTAGGTGATTTTGATCGTGAAAAACTTTTTTAGACGTTCCATCAATTTTATTCAAAATTCGTGTACTATAGTATACAGCTTTTGGTGATTTTGATCATGAAATAGTTATCTGGACGTTACATTAATTTTACCCAAAATCTATATACTATAGTACACAGTTTTTGGTGATTTTGATCGTGAAAAAGGTTTTTTGGACGTACCACAAATTTTACCCAAAATCCGTGTACTATAGTATACAGTTTTTTGTGATTTTGAGCGTGAAAAAGTTTTTTGAACGTTCCACCAATTTTACCAAAATCAGTGTACTATATAGTACATAGTTTTTTATGATTTTAATCGTGAAATCGTTTTTTGGAAGTTGCACAAATTTTAACTAAAATCTGTGTAGTATAGTATACATTATTTGGTGATTTGATCTTGAAAATATTTTTTGGACGTCCTACCAATTTTAACCAAAATTTGTTTACTATATTATACAGTTTTTGGTTATTTTGATCGTTAAAAATATTTTTGGACGTTCCTCCAGTTTTATCCAAAATCTGTGTACTATATAGTATAAAGATTTTGGTGATTTTGATTGTGAAAAAGTTTTCTGGACGTTCGGCAAATTTTACCCAAAATTTGTGTACTCTTTTATACATTTGTGATTTTGATCGTGAAATTTTTTTTTGGACGTTGCACCAATTTTATCCAACATCTTTGTACTATAGTATACATTTTTTGGTAATTTTGATCGTGAAAATATTTTTTGGTCGTCCTACCAATGTTACCCAAAATCTGTGTACTATATAGTATACAGTTTTTGATGATTTTGATCAAGAAAAAGTTTTTTTAACGTTTCCCCAATTTGACCCAAAATTTGTGAAAAAGTATAGAGTTTTTGGTGATTTTGATTGTGAAAAAGTTTTTTGGACCTTCCACCAATTTTATCCAAAATATGTGTACTATAGCATACATTTTTTTGGTGATTTTGATCGTGAAATAGTTTTTTTGACATTTCACCAATTTTACCCAAAGTCTGTGTACTATATAGTACACAATTTTTTGTGACTTTGATCGTGAAAATCTTTTTTGGACGTTCCACCAATTTTATCCAAAATCCGTGTACTATAGTATACAGTTTTTGGTGATTTTGATCATGAAATAGTTATCTGGACGTTATATTAATTTTACCCAAAATCTATATACTATAGTACACAGTTTTTGGTGATTTTGATCGTGAAAAAAAGTTTTTCTGACGTTCCACCAATTTGACCCAAAATCTATGTACTATAGCATACATTTTTTTTATGTAGTGTGTGTTTTGTTTTTAGTGTGTATTTACGGTGTAGTGCTTGTTTTTTTATTGTGTTTACGGTGTAGTGTGTGTTTTTCTTCCTGTTTTTGGTGTAGTGTGTGTTTTGTTTTTAGTATGTGTTTAAGGTGTAGTGTGTGTTTTATTTTTAGTGTGTGTTTATGGTGTAGTGTTTGTGTTTTTTTTCCAGTGTGTATTTTGTTTTAGTATGTGTTTTCGGTGTAGTGTGTGTACGGTGTAGTGTGTGTTTTGTTTTTAGTGTGTGCTTACGTCCTACCAATTTTATCCAAAATTTGTATACTATATAATATACATTTTTTGGTGATTTTGATCGTGAATTTTTTTTTTGGACGTTCCATCAATTTTATCCAAAATCTGTGTAATATAGCATACAGTTTTTGGTGATTTTGACCGTGAAATAGTTTTTTGGACTTTCCATTTGTTTTACCCAAAATCTGTGTATTATAGTATAGAGTTTTTGGTGATTTTGATCATGAAAAAGTTTTTGGGTCATTCCACCAATTTTATCCAAAAATTGTGTACTATATTATAGCATACATTTTTTTTGTGATTTTGATCGTGATTTTTTTTTTTGGATGTTTCACCAATTTTACCTAAAATTTTTGTATACAAATAGCGTACAAGTTTAGGTGATTTTGATCGTGAAAAACTTTTTTAGACGTTCCATCAATTTTATTCAAAATTCGTGTACTATAGTATACAACTTTTGGTGATTTTGATCATGAAATAGTTATCTG